GTGTTCTTTTCAGATTGGAGCATATGATCAACAAATATGGGAAAAATCAGTAGAACAGAGAGAAATAAAGGTAATAATAGAGCATTTCAAGGGTTTTTTTTCGGGTGGTTGTGTACACTGATGTAATTTACATTGTATGTGGTGGTATTTAATACTGGTAAAGTAAAACTAGACTTCTGGCGTGTTAACCAAATGTAACTGACATACTATGCTCTTTATTTTACATAATTCATAACTCTGCAGCATTCAGTGTGCTATGTCTTGCTGTATCTCAGTCTGGTTTTTTTTTTCTTCTTTTCACTTATCTTAATCCAGGGCTTAGGTGTTTTAGTACCTCTGTCTTTCACTTTTCTCTGTGATGAATTCTAATGTCAGTTATCTGAGCTCTCTTTGCTTTCAGTTAGTTACCTTATACCTGCAGTTTACTTTTCCTCCTTTATGATGCTGTCATTGTTTTGTACAGTTTATTAGACTGGTAAGTACCTCAGGCTTTGTTTCTCTGAACAAGCAATTTCACAGTGTTCCGTGCATTTTGGTTTAACTAACAGTGCCATCAGTGCCTGCCACATTGCTAAATTGCTTTGGAGAGAAAAGAAATCAGCCCTAGATATAATAGTTTTATGGTTTGGATATTAGGTCATACTCCATGATAAAGTAGTTAACCATTTCTGGCAGTTAACCTGGTTTTCCTCGAACACTGCATGCTGCTGCATGGTTGCTAATACTTAACATCAGCAACATGTACGTTGTTTCAGCATCCCTGGGGGTGGTTTGTTTCCCTCCCCAGTACCTAAATAGCTACGCAGAATGTGCTGGGAGGGACTTGCTTGCCTTCCCTGGAAGCTGTTGCTGACCTGAGCTGCAGAGTTCCCTGATTTCTGTACACATTGAGCCGATGGTGTTTGAGCAGTGTGGAGCATCCCCAGCTGTGGATCCCGGGGTGGTACCTGCACATCCCGGGATGCCACGACCAGTTTTGGGAAGGCTGAGCCTGTGCTGCTGTGTGAAACGTGCAGGGAGCTGTCAGCAGTGTTCCTGCAGCTGGTTTCACACTGACACCCTTGGCATGGGGCTCGTCTGCAGGTCTTTCCCACGGCCATGCAAACCCATCCCTGCTAGGAGAGTTCTTGGAGCTGCTGATTAATAGCAGGTGATTCACATCATTAGTGCAAACAGTGCCCTATGCTCCTTCAAAATGCATCGAAATGCATCTCATTTGACTCAGGAGTCCAGTAACTAAGGGATTAACCAGGGGTGTCTGTAAGAGTTTCTGTGCAACCAAGCGCAGGTATCGCATGTTGGTGCTTTAATCTCTAAGCTCCTACAGTGCTTTGAGGTTATAAATAGATACAGAACAACCTTATTATAGAATTGTTATATAATCATATATATGTTATATACACAACATATTATCTATATTTTATATACAACATTCATTTATGTGGCAAGCGAACGTGACTAAAAACCTGACAACTTCTTTTAGTAGAAAAATCTGTTTTGCTTCCTATAAATTTAGGATTTAGTTAGAAGTATCACAGAATCTATTAAGGTTAATTTTAAAATCAGTGCAAATATTTTTATGATAGCAACTATTTTTAAGCGTTTTTATTTAAGCTTTTTTTTTTTTTTGCTATTACTTAGCTGAAATGTGGTTGGTGCCGATTAGAAAATGACTGAGCTAACTGGATGGGTCTGAGCAGCATGAAACACCATTGATTTTTTATTTCAATACCCCTAGCTCAAAACACTGCTGTTTGCCACATGTGTTGCAGATATTTGTGATGCATTAAGGGAGAGAAATTGCATCTGAATAAATGGAATTCTTTCACTGTGTGTGGCAAGAAGTGCAAGAACCAACTCAGTGTAATCCATGGACACTGAAAGATTTGTGATTTGACCAATGGAATTTTTAGAGAATGAGTCACCATTTCTTTTCCTATGAAAGTTGCATCAAGTTATACTCTTGACTTTTATTCAGAATTCTTTCCTTTAAACGAAAACATAATTTTAGCCTCAGTGGTAGATTTTCCCTAGGATTGTGCATGTGTTTCCAGAGGATTATTTCTTCTGAGAAACACATCTTTATTTAGACTTTCAAGACAGATCATGTGGCTCATAAGCACTAACACATTTGAAAATGATTGTATCATTCAGCATTTTCTTTTTAAGCTTCAAATCTTTTTCTGACAGAGTTGGCTCACTTAGCAAGATTTCACACGAATCTGTAGCTGATTCTAGAATTACAATCATTTCCAATTCTAATTATGGGTTTCCTCTCTCATTCCACATGAAATTACTGCAGTTTTAGGACTGCTGTTCTGTAAAAGTCTTGCATATTAAGGTCTTTGCAGTGCTTAAGTCTATAATACAACTGTTTTTCTGTATTTGTCATCCTCAGAGCACATTTTGTCCTATCTGTGTATCAGTTCTATGTATTAATTTTGTTTTGTTTCAAACAGGCTCATTTTTTGTAATAGACACATCAGGTGATGACTACATACCTAGTTAGTTGCAAAGAGCATGAAAAATAAATCCAGTTGAATTTAGAAGTGAGAGATATTTTGAGCTGCACTCATTTTGTTTGCTATTGTGCTTATAAAGATTAGCATTAGCAGAGTTCACTGATTGGTCTCTCACTGATAACAGTTTAATTTTTATGCTTTCATCTCTATTTAATGTTTGCATTGAATTAGGAAGTGTTTTTACACCTGGATAAAATATGGCAGTGGTGGAAATCTACAGATCACTGGTGAATTCAACTGCTTTTTGATTGCAAATTAAATGACTTTCATCATCATTCAACTTGCATCCTAAATATTTTTGAAACATTTCATTTTACTCTGTTTGAATTGTACTCTGTGGTCTCCTGATTCGCTGGTGTGACCAAGAGCCTAATCTAAAGGGAGAATAAATTCACAGCTGTCTCTGAGATTTGAGAGCATCACATTTTAGCATTAAAAACAAACTAGGAAGCTTTGCAACATAGTTTGGCTCTTCAGTGATGGAAGATGCTGTTTGTAAAAGACAAAATAATCTTGCTTTTTTTTCCTGCTGCTTTTCTGTTGTGTGGGATTTTTGTCCTCCCCCTTTTTAATTGGCTAATCTGTATTCACTCTTAAGAAAAATTCAATACTTATCTAGAATTTGAATTTCTGAGAGCTTGCTGTGACTCCTGCATTGCAACATGATTTGCTATCTAGGTTTGGACTGAAGGAGTTGCAGTGTAAGCATTTTGTGAAGTTTAATTAGACATCTGAGGAGAAAAGAGATCCAGGAATGTCATTTGTTGCAGAAATTCTGAAAACCTAATAGACATGTATTACTAATTCTTGCAAGTGTGTGCATATATTGTCTGCAGAGTGCCAAGCCAAGGGAGATGAGTGCTCAGTGCATAGCTGGCTTGGAAAAATTGCCTAATGGGTCAGTAATTGTGTGGGTTTTGTTTAGGTTGTCAAGTGTGTAAAAGGCATCTATTGTGCCTTGTTCCTTGGAATGTTTAATTTTAGTGCTTTAAATCTGTGCCTGTCACCTGCATGAATGTGTTTTGATAGTGTTTGCCTGTTGCAGGGTTTGAGAAACAAACCAAAGAAAACAGGACATGTGAAACCAGACCTCATAGATGTTGATCTTGTAAGAGGTAGGTCCTGAGCTAGAAAAAGCTGAATTTCTCAGTGTAAAAATAACAGGCATCCTGTATTGTGAGTGTCTTGGTAAGTTAAAAATAACCTCAGATGAAACAAAACACAACCCACCCCACAGAACTCCTCTCTGAAGCAGATCAGTAGGAAATACTCTTAAATGGTGATGTCTGGATTAAACTGAAACTTAAGAACTTGATTTAAATTTTGTTGTATAGATTTAGATTTTGAAAAAAAAGCATGTGCATTGTCAAGGATCAGCATTTTAGAGTTATTAGTTTAGCAATTTCCTATTGCCTTGTGTTCAGACTTCTTCCAGATCTTCTGACATCTAGAGGAAAGGTGAAGTTGAAGTTTCTGGAGAGTAAACATTGTATAGTCTGTGACTGTTTCTTTCCTAGAATCAAAGAATCATAGAGCTATCAAGGTTGGAGGAGACTTTTAAGATCATTAAGTCCAACCATTGATCTGCCACTGCTGTAACCCCTAAACCCTAAACCATATCCTCCAGCACCAGATCCAGACACCTCTTAAACACTTCCAGTGTTCCTGTTTTAAATAACAAAACAGCAACAGAAGGTCAGATGATTTGAGACCTTTATTTAGTCTTAATTTATTTTTATCTGTATGTAATTTCCCCTGTGTAGGCTAGGAGAACATTAGCATTTTTATCGATGAACTCCCCCTCCTGCCATTATCTCCTTGATCTCCTCTGTGGCTGTGCAGATGAGCTTTTCTGACATCACCTACCAATCTAACTTTTTAAAAATGGGAATGTGAGAGAAAGAAACAAAATCAAGTCACATTTGAACTTTAAAGAAGCTAAAAAGCAGTGGTAGACCACTTCAGGATAGTGATACACATAAATAGCCTTTAAATGGCTGCATTGCATGGGTGTCTCAGTTGGCATGAAAGTAATTTCAGTGCTGGCAGTTTTACCTGTGGCACCACAGAGCTCACTAATGCCAGTTCTGCTTGCAAATGAGGTGGGGATGGTGTAGCAGCATGCAGTAGTTGCCCTTTCCAATCAACAACTCAGCATAATTTCAGTCACATCCCCATTAAGTAAATGTTACACAGTTTTCTATCTGGGACTTGGCAGAAAGAAAGAGAAATGGGGGAATATGGGAGAGAAAGGGCATTTGAATGAGAGAGATAAAAAAGGTGTAGAAGGAGAGATAAATTATTCTTTGGGTGGCTTCCTTCCTCCTGGGGCTGGTCCTCAGATGGGCACATCCATCTCAATGCTTCTCAGCCTTATTCCATTTTCCTGAATGATGTGGTTGGAGCAATATACAGATGTTGGTATTTTAGATCCCTTTGCTGTGTTGGGAAAGGGCTCTGCTGTGCCTGCCGAGTTTTAACATGACCTATTGTTGCTCATCCCAAGTTTCTGATACCTCTATGAAACAGAAGACTTTTGAATCATTTATTTTATAATCATTTTGGCAGAGTAAGAAATGGCAACGCTCTGTTATCCAAACATTCCAAAATGCAGGTGTTTGTAGAAGCTCATGATAATGACAGTTAAGAGAGCACCAAAAATGTATGCCAATTTTGGGTTGAGGAGATAGTGAAACAATGGAAGTCCAAGCTTTATTCAAATAATTGTGTTTAATAACTTCTCCTTTAGATAACTATCTCAACTGCTCTGCTATTGAACAAATAAAGTTTTTTATTAGCCATGACAATGGAATAAATCTAAATTTCTTTTCTTCTTTTTTTAAAGGATCTGCTTTTGCTAAAGCAAAACCTGAAAGTCCTTGGACATCTCTGACCCGCAAAGGAATTGTGAGAGTTGTTTTCTTTCCGTTCTTCTACAGGTGGTGGCTACAAGTGACATCAAGGGTCATTTTTTCCTGGCTGCTTGTTCTTTACCTTCTCCAAGGTAGAGTTGGACTACACCATCAGCTTCAGCTGAATGTCTGATTTTAAACATGTGGAAGCTGCAGCATGCTGCTTGGTTCACTTATTGCTGTTAAGGTTTATTCCAATGTTTTCAGAAAATACTGGAATGACACAGCCCCAAGCATATGTGTCTTGGTTAACATTGCTTTTATGAATATAAAGGTTGCATGATGACAAATTTAATCATCTCCTCACAGGCTTCCTGCAGCTTTTAGCACACGTTAAATTGTCACCTCTGTTTAGAATTCAGGTTTTCAGGACTACCGAATTTAGTTCAGGACTGAGCAATGGTGAAGAAACCTTTGGCTTAGGCAGTGTATCTTGTCTTGGGTTTTTGGTCTGTCTGGTACTTGTGCAGATCAAGAGCTCTGATCAAGAAACAAGCAAGGCCAAGCCTGCCAAGGTGTGTGCAGCTTGTGCAGCCTAGTAGGATGATGTGATTGACCAGTTTCCAGTTGTCCTTCCATGTGTTATTTTGTCACATCAGAGACAGTGAACTTCTAGCTTGTACTTTAGTCAGACCTCAGCTGTGCTCCTGAATGACTGACCAATGGGGCCTTATTGTCCTCTGAGCTTCTGCTGGTTTTTCCTGTTGCAATGGGGAGACTGTGCATCTTAATTTGATATTTCCTAGATTATAGAAGGGCTTTTGGGCAACTGTTAGCAATGAGAAGGCAGTTAACAGCTTATGGGATGCTCAGCATTGAGTTCTAGCAGTTTGATTTTGTGCTTCTCTTAATTATATGGAGTATATAAGAGGAAAATTAGAAAGGGAAGAATATAATGGATATGAGTCAGTATCTAACAGTGTGAAAGTCACCACAAGAATAAGTGTATGTACAGCAGAGATGGAACAGAAGGCTAATGAAAGTTGAGAGCAATTTAAGTACCCTGAGAATCTAAGTGACTCATAAATTTTCCACTGAAATCCAATTAAAACACAATATTGCTTTTTCATTTTTGCCATGTGTCTTTTCAGTTGTGAATCACTGGATCATTTGGAAATTTTAATTAAAACAAGATAGGGAGTTTTTTTTAAAAAAAAGACAATACCTCTTGTTCGGTGATGTTAGCAGCTATGAAATTAATTTCACAGTGCCAGTGCCCCAAGGTTTGAAAAACTGACATGTATTCATGTGGCCTCTATCAAAATTTCTTCTTATCCCCATTTCTGAGAGAGGTTCCTAAGAATTATTGTGTGCATTAACGTTTGTCTGTATTACAGTAAGAGATCCCATAGTGTTAATGATTTTAATCTTGGGTATAGTAATATAAGTGGTAAAATATCTAAGTTGTAGTTTGTTACCATGTTCTTAGGTGTCTTATTCTGAGAAACACCATAATAGTAATTTCTTATGTTCCACACTTAATTTCTGGAGCCTTCATAAGGCTTTAAAAGCAGCAAGATGGTAAGACAGTGCAGATTCTGGGCTCAGTTTTTAGGACATTAATTACAGAGCTATCTTATAATAATGTTTTTCCCCTTCAGATTTCTTGGGATCTATGATCTACCAAGTTATGGTTGGAATGTGTCATTTTCCTAATCCATGTAATGTGACAGAAGATTTCTGTTATTACCTAGGTTGCGAATTAACAAATACCAGAAAATAATTAACAGGATTCCATATTGTACTATAATCCAACTAATTTCAATACTTGTAATTTCAACTGTGCTGTATTAAGTGCAGAGGTTTTGATAGTTTTTGAAATAAATTAAAAGACTTAAAATGAATCATAGAACCATCAAGGTTTGTGTGGAGACCTTTAAGATCACTAAGTCCAACCCTTAACCTGTCACTGCTAGAACCCCTGAACCCTAAACCATATCCTCCAGTGTCAGATCCAGATGCCTCTTAAACACTTCCAGGGATGGTGACTCCACCACCTCCCTGGGCAATATTCCAGTGCCTGAACACTCTAAAAGGGGAAAAACATTCCTCCTAACATAATCTGACTCTCCCCTGTCTCAGCTCACATTCCCTCTAGTCCTCTCCCTGCAGCCATGGCAGGACACACATCCCCCCCCTCTCTCCAACCCCTGTCAGGGAGCTGTAGAGAGCCATGAGGTCACCCCTGAACATGTAAGTGAACATACATGAACATGTAAGTGAAATTAAATTGACATATTGACCTATTGGAAACTCTTTTAAACACCTCCCTCAAGCCCTTCTGTATGTTTTGCTTCTGTTTCTCTGGGCAAGGTGTGCTCAGGTGATAATTCAGTACAAGATTGGTAAGGCAGCACCAAAACATCAAGAATCTATGGTGGAAACTTAAGACTAAACCACTTCAGTGACTCTGTTTCTGCCCTGAGTCTGGATTTGGTATTGTAGTTCAGACTTTGTCATAGCAGATTCTCACTGACACTGTTGTAAAATGGTATGACTTTATTTGGTTTATAGATGTTTAGGCAAATTATTTAATGCTGAAATATTTTCTGTAGATTTATGAACTACATAACTTGGAATTACTGCTTTGAAATTGATTAGCTTTAGCAAGGTACTTGCTAGTGTTTATGTCAGTCTGTAGAAAAAGCTCTTTCCTTGGCTGTAGGTTTAAAGCCCAGGCTTTATTTGCATTGGTTTCCTTTAGTATGCAGTGATTAGCGCAATGTGTGATAAGAGAACTACAGAGAAATGTGTTCTGTTCAAGGTCACAGAACAGGCCAATGAATTAAGGTAGAAGTAAAACCTTTTTCTTCCAACTGCTTATCCATTTACCTCATTTTCACTTAAATATGTTTTTGTACTCTAATAGGAAAATGAAGTGTGAAATTATAGTGGTTTTTGTGTGTTTCTGAAATATGAAGCAGCTTTAATAGAGATGTAATGATTGTTTATTGTGGTGAGAGATACATATGGATTCATGTGTGTGGTTTTAAAATTGGTAATTTCAGAGCTTTATGTGCTCTAAAAATTATCCTGCAAATCATTTCATGTGGAGCTGTGGAGCTCTGTGTTCTCAGAAGTATGTGTTAATCCAAACTGTATGGGAGAAACCAAAACTGGCTACTTTACCTCATGAAACTAATTGTATGTGTGAGAAACTCAGACAAGCCCATTTAGAAAGACATGATATTATCTGTACCTTTTAAGTTATTTTTAGTAAGCTGGATTTCTTATTGATGCATATTGTCTTCCTGAGACACCTCACACAGCAAAAACCTAGTCCACATACAGTAATTAAAGATACTCTGTGTTCTATACAAACCTTTTGTGCTTTAATTTAAGAAAAAGACTGAAGGAGGGATTAGAAATAGTTTTTCCACGATCAAAAATGATTCCATTGTCTTGTATGCTCATCATGTTTCTAATAGTTGTTACCTGGCTAAAGATTAGCTCATGAAAAACACATGGAATCTCTTTTTAGTGGAGAACAGCACATCCAGGTGTCTGCTGCGTTAGGTGTGGCTTCCTGTGGGTTATTTTAGGTGTTTGAATGTGGCAGTAGAGAACTGGTGAAAGCTGCTGAACGTGTGCCATGTGTTTCTTCTGCAAGGGGTAGGTCTAAGTTGTGGGACTTTCACTTCTTTGTAGTACCAGAACAAAACCAAATTCTAATGGGATGTGTGGATGTTAGGCAAAGAGAATTATTTCCCAGTTCTCTTTCTGGATTGTTTCTTGGAGTTTCTGTGGTTTTTTTTTTTTAATAGCTTGTCTCACCTGAGTTGCAGAACACAGCCCTTCAAGCCAGAGAGGCAGAGCAACAAGGACATAGAATAAGCAGAGAAGGAGAGTGAGTGTTCAGAGTGACCTGGGGCCTGTAAAGATGTTTCTGAGTGGTTGGGCTCTGGGTACAGGAGCAAGAATAGCTGTGGGTGTTGGCTGTATATGAAAAGTGATTACAGGGTTACAAAATTAACAGTTAGCCATGAGGTTGAAAGCTGCCCCTTTTCCAACCACAAGTGCCAGTTGGAGTCCTGGTCACTTCAGCTGGACTTAGCTCATAGTTTACATGGTCTGTCTTTGTCTTTGATCTTTCCTCACTGCTAAAAAAATATACACACAAGTATACATGAAATGTCTCCAGGGTTGCACTTAGGCATGGTTGTCTATCCATGTGGCAATTTTGTCCAATTGTATGGAATATGGAGTTTAAAATGCATTCTGCTACATAAAGGGTTTCTAGTCTCATGTCTCACCTAACTTGTTGGATTCTGCTGTGTTCTTATAGGTAATAGAGCACTAAATTTAGTTAGGCTGCTTGAAAGATGACATTTACATTTTGGTTTTGTCTCCCACTGATGTTTCACCATAATTTAAAGTTGTTTATTGATGGATATACCTTTCCAAATGGTTCCCTCCCACCCCTTATTTCATTCTGCCAACTTTTTTTTGGAGCAATACCTATAATATCACAAGTATGAAAGAAGAGATGGATATTAAGACAGTAGGCAACACTTCATACCCTTATTGCTGCTATTCCTTAGCAATTATTTCTGTCTCCTGGAGATATATGAATTGGTTTAAAATGCAGGTAAAGGATGACCTCTGACTGGTTTTAGTTTTAATAAAAGTCATAGAATGAGTTGGCCATTGCAGACATTTCAAATACTGAACTTCATTTCCCTTCTTTTGCAGTTGCTGCTGTAGTGCTATTCTATACAGCCCAAAGCCCACATAATATACCTCTGACTGAAGTCATTGGGCCAATATGGCTCATGTTGCTACTTGGGACTGTGCATTGTCAGATTGTTTCAACACGAACTCCTAAGCCACCTCCCAGCACAGGGGGTAAAAGAAGAAGGTATAGTCTGTGTTCGAGTACTTTATCATTTAGGGTTGTTGAAGTACTGTAAAGAACATGCATGAAAATAAGTAGGGGTTTGCAGTTTGTGCTTTGCAAGAGATGAGAAATCTATGCTCTGTTTTTATTTGTAACTTTAAAATGGGTGTTTAATTGGTGCTCTTTAACTTTTATGCATTGACTAATACATGCATCGTTTTGTTTGAATTTTAATGCCTCGAATTTTGCCTCAAAACTGTCACTATCTGAATAGTGGTGGAGTGACAATGTTTGTATTACTGCAAATTTAGTTTTCTGGCTCTGTGCAATATTGGCTAATGATCTGTGGGAAGCATACATTAAAGAAGGTTCTCTTGGAAGTGTAGAACTTAAGTCTTCCAAGAACTCCAATAACTGGTTTGCTTACGTGATTAGTCCCATAAAAATGGCAAACCCTGCAGTAGTGAATTTTATAGGTCTAGGCCTCTGGTGATGAAATGAAATGTCATTTTGTGTTTAAGTGTTACGATTATCAATGTGTTTTATTAAATGGAGTTTATTAATTGATGTGGTAAAGCTTTAGCAAAAGACTTTGAAATATTGCTTGTTTTTGCATGCTTAAACTGCTGAACACGTTACAAAACTAGCAGATTGCACTTACAAAGCTACCTTCCAATTTTAATCTCTTCTGATGAAGGAAATTAAGGAAAGCAGCACATTTGGAAGTACATAGGGAAGGAGATGGCTCTAGTACCACAGATAACACACAGGAGGGAACAGTGCAGAGCTACGGTACAAGCACCTCTTGCAGTATTGGCGCTGTCTTCAGAGATATCTGGCATGCTGCTTTCTTTTTATCAGGGTTTGTATTTATTCAAGGCTACATATGTGTTGGAAATGCACTATCCCTTTTCTAAATAAGTAAACATTGATGTAATGATTAAACTTCTGTTGATCTAGTTTTTGTTCTTAATAACAAACTCGTCTCAGTGTTTGAAAATGTACTAATGTGTTGTTTCTTGACTTTTGCAAATGCCGGTGCAATCGTTTTGAAAAAATACTGAATTATCTTAGAATAATTTGGAAGGGACCTTAAAGACCATCTAGTTCCAACTTCCCTGACATGGGCTTGGACGTTTTCCACTGGACTAGGTTGCTCAAAGCCCCATCCAACCTGGCCTTGAACATTGCCAAGGATGGGACAGCCACAGTTTCTCTGGGAAATCTGTTCTAGTGTCCCACCACCCTCACAGTAAAGAATTCATTCCTAATATCTAAAGCTAAACCTACCCTATTTCAGTCTGAGGCTATTCCCCCTTGTTCTGTCACTACATGCCCTGGTAGAAAGTTCCTCTCCAGGTCTTTTGTAGCCCCTTTAGATACTGGAAGGTGCTCTAAGGTCTCCCTGGAGCCTTCTCTTCTCCAGGCTGAACATTCTCAACTCTCTCAGCCTGTCTTCATAGGAAAGGTGCCCCAGCCCTCTGACCATCTTCTTGTCTCTCCTCTAGACTCATTCCAACAGGCCCATGTCCTTCACATGTTGGAGCCCCAGGGATTAGCACAGTACTCCAGGTGGGATCTCAGGAGAGCAGAGTACAAAACCAACTCTAAGTTAAATTATATGTTCATGTAGGAGTACATTGTGTGGGCTATCAGGAACAAACCAACTCAGCAGCACAATTTTAATCCAGTGAGAAAAATTCAGCTCTTTAATTTTACTTTATCACATTAACTGCTCGTTACTCTGAGAGAATGCTTAGTGAACTCTTGTCACTCTCAAAAAATCACACATTTTTGCTGAAGGAAAAAACCTTCAGGATTCAAATAGGCACAGCATTCAGTCTATAAATAAGCATTGAAGATACATTTTCTGTAATGCTTGGAAGAAACATCTAACTCTACTAGGTTCCAGAGCTGTTTTGGAAAGGATTTTTGCTCTGGGCAGTTGAAAAGTTTTCTTTTAGAAAACCCCATTCTATAGCAGTGTGTGTTCAAGGTACATGATACACACATCATTTTGAGTGTTGCGTATCAGTATTTATTATCGAGTGGAAATATGCTGTTAAAATAGCATGAAACTGAGAAAAGGGATACTGCAAGTTATGACATTGATGTTTTGTTGTGCATGCTGCATCTTAAATAAGGCAACACAAACATGTCTGTCAGACCCATGATATGTGCTCTTAACCACTGCTAAAACTTAGGCTATGTTACATTCTGGGAATATCTACTTGAAATCTTGGAGAAGTGTTAAAAATATTTAAAAGTATTGCAAGGGGAGAGTGGATTTGACTTTTTCGTGTGTGGATTAAGCTAGCTTGGATAAACTGGGAGTCATGGTGATAAGCACCATGGCTGTTCTTTGGGTCTGTAGGCATCACTTTCTGGTATGTTTTGATGTCATCTTGTAAACTTTTGAATGTTTTCCATTCATTGAAGATACTGATCTGCAGTAAGAGGAGGAGTGTTAGGAGATTCATTTTTTCCTTACCTTTCTTCCTATTTCCTTACCTGTGCTCCTATTTTCCTTATCTTTTCCTCCTGTTTTCCTTACCTTTCACTCCTATTGAGTGTTTTAAGTTGAGAAGGTCTCTCTGAAACTTACTCTAAAGACATGTTTAAACCATTTAATGGGAGGTAGTGTGTGTATATATATATATATAGATGTTAAGCCTCCATGATTACTACTTAGTATGTACAGTATCTTCAAAGGATAAAGGACACAGAGTGACAGTGCTGTAGATAGCCTTCAGTCCTTCGTTACCTCTTCAGTTGGAGAGGCACAGTTGTTTGTCTGGAGCTATACAAACCATATCAGATACTTGTCCAGCTGAAAAAGAAGCTTTTTTTTTTTTCCCAGGGAATCATGCAGTTCAATTTCCTCATGTGATTTTTTTTTGATGGTAACACAAACAGTTTTGTCAGCACAGTGGGATGGCAGAGTGGGGCTGGGAATGAGCAAGCAAGAGCACAGTGTGGAGTGCATGGACTACTTGGTGATGGTGCTAAAGAAAATCTTAGGAGAGCTCAGTGCAAGGAAATTTCACAGCAACATGTATCCTGTTTCTTAAGACATATTTGGAAGCTCTTTAGATAATCACATTAGACTGTCTCATTAGTGCTTATTTACAGCAGTTTTTCATGTATGTTAAGCTGTGATGTACCATTTTCTGGAGTTTTAAATGTGGGTCTTAAATACATGGTTTCAAAATTAGCCTCAGAAATTATGTTCTCTACTTTAGGGCAGGACCCTGTGTGCCTAGACTATTTGTCTACACTCCAGGTCATTGGTAATCTGGAACTTTGTATTCAATAAATATCCTTTTGAATGGAAAAACTGACTCTGACTAATAAAACAGATTTCTAAACTTTAATCCAGCACAGGGGCAATTTAGAAAATGCTACTTATTAGTTTCACTGAGGGCAATATCCAAATAGGTGATGTATTCAGAATGTAGTACTGATTTGGGACTTTGCACTGTGTGTCCTTACTCTAGTGGAAATGCTTCAACTCCCAAAGTTTTGCAGTGGGGACAGAGTGGAGGGTTGTTGTGACCAACCCCAATGAAAATACATTGGACTAGAATACTTGACAGTGAAAATCTAGTCTTCCAGAAACTTGTTTGAAATCTTACTTAGTATTTTCTCTAGCTAAGGCATGAATGAGACTGAAAGCCAGTCTTAGCTTTTGCATATCTTCAAGCCTTTTAAGACCTTGGATTTATTCATATTGTTGTCTGTCTTGCTCTAAATACTTTTAGTTTTCACATGAAATTGTAGAAGTTGATTAATAATGTATGTATATACAGTAATTCTAGGAAACTATACATTTCTGTCAACTAGGGAAACACTGTTACTGGTTTGCTATTTTTTTAAACATAGGGTAGTACACAAAAGCCTAACTTTAAGCCCAAGTGTCTGTTTTTCTGACTAGAGGTGTGCTTAAATTTAGGGATTCTTACAAAGAATAACCTTGGTTTCCATGTCAGAAGCAAATAAAGACTTCAGTCAAGCTACCTGTTTTTTAGAATGAGCCTTAGTTCTTATCAGATGAGTAGTATTCATCTTCTGATTTTAGCATTTACACATTCCTTGAGTAGTGAAATCCTATCTGAACCAATTGTACATATGTAGGTATGTTCTTTCTTTCTCTTATCTGTTCCTACTTTCTCTCTCTTATCTGTTCCTATCCAACTGTTCGAGGCTACTTCTCCCTGGTAGCTCTGAAGTTTCCTATAAAATGTATAAGAACATCCCAAATCTAACCTGAAAGAGTTGTCCTGTCCATCCACTCTGATAGTCTAGTAACTTCTAGAGTAAGTGTCTCTGACTGGATGTGTGTGTGATGGGAACTTCATTCATTTTTGCACTGTTAGAAAAAAAATTTTTAAAAAAGTGCTGAAAGTGTATTTAATAAGTTAAAAAATGGCCTCTCTGGATTCCTCCTTATTGCAGATAATTTAGTATTAGTGCTACGTCCTTAGCACTCACAACTGACCTTACTGAAACTGATTATTTTGCAATGAGCTGCCACTGACAAGCTAGTTCTTACTTTATTCCAGAGGTGGAACAGCAAATTTTTTCCATTCAATAATAAGCTAAGCTTTCTCTTTCTTCAGTTATCTCCATTTACTTGGTTAAACAATGACATTAAGGAATGGCACAGAAATAAAGTTCTAACGTGTTTACTGGCAATAGTTTGACCTTTTCATCCAAAGCCTCAGTAATGTTTTAGATTATCTTAATGGACCTAGAGAATTCAGACTCTGTATGTGAGCTCACATGTTGGCAGGCTGCAAACACTGCCTGCTCCTCCAGAGCAGCACACATGCTGAAGCATGTGCTGACTCTTTATCTTCGTAAGCTTATAATCCAAATGAATCCATACAAACATATGATAACTATAGAAAGTGTTTCTGGTGGGTTTGTATTCATATAGAAATCAAGTTGACTAAGAGTTCTGGAAATAGGTGAGGGAATGAACTCTATAGCTTCCTACCAGAGAAGTGGAGCAGCAGTTCTTTTGCTTTAAAAGAAAATAAATGTTAGCTTTTTTCCTAGGAAGGGGTAAGGAAATGAGGTTAAAGATGGGAAAGGAAGATGAAGCACCTTAGAACCATTGTCTCTTCGTTATTTTGTCTGCATTCCAACAGCTGAAATGATCCTTTTTGGGTATTTTTTTCCATTTTATCCAGCTCTTCCTAGCCAATTTTGGTTTTGTGTTCAAGCCTCCCCTTTGTATGTGGGATACCTTATCTTGGGAAGAATGTGAGGCGACTATCCAAATTCTCCCAATTTGTTTGATGTACATATTAAAGAGGAATTTAATCTTCTGCTGTGTAATCCAAGCCCACATAGAACACTTCAGTCCTTAAAGAGAAAGTCAATGCATATTCCCTCGTGGGAGCACAGGATCAATTGAACAGATTCTTGATAGTTCTGTGAACTATCCCCAATAATAAAACTTCTGGGAGCTTTTTTTCCTTGCCCCTCTCCCCCCATCAAGCATTCTGGGATTCTAACAAGCAAAATCTACTTTACTCTGAGAATACAGTGAAGACTAAGGTAGAAAGCTGCTATTTCTTTTCCTTCCTGCATCAACTGCACTTTTGAGTTTGGAAGTGTGATCATCCAAACGTTTGCTTTGAGAAAGCCTTTTTCTGGCATTAGATAGTCTTGTTGCTACATCTATTGGCTAGGTAAGGGCCTTGATTCCAGAGAATCTTATGGAAGGCTTCACCAATATAAGCAAATTTAAGATTTTGTGCTTTGAAAAAAGGCTTAGTGTGTTTCTAAGATCCATTGAAAAATGTTGCCAGGGACGTTACTGGATGATACAGGGAGGAGTAAATCCCCTTCTGTTTAGCAGAACTGTCAGTAAGGAGTGTCTGTAAAACAGCAGCAAATATCTATGTGCAGAGGACAAACAGCATGTTTGTTTGCAGCTTCAGGAAATTGCATGCTTGCTTTGAATTAATAACACTTCAAGCAACTTTTAGCATACCTTTTTTTTTGGGGGGGGTTAAGGTAGAATAGAGAACTTTATCATTTACATTTAAGGCTTGTGGTTCTTCTGTTGCCAAAGTTGCTGTGAAGTTTAAGTTTTAGGTTTCCTTTTCTCTTCTTTCAGTAGCTAATGCTATACATTTCTTTCACACACTGATATTTTATTTTGTAATAGTCTTAGGAAAGGATAATGGGTGTTATTTAGGAGATTAAATGGTTACAAATATTGCATCAAATGTTAATATTGTTAGTTGGTGATCATCTTAGTAGTAAAACTAAAATGTGAGTTGAGAGCAATAAGGAGGATTTAGACTGGGAAATAATTGAGAGAATAATGAATTTAATACGTGTATTTGTTTTAAATATAGATCTAAGAAGGCAAAAAGCTCAATAGATAAATCCACTGAAACTGATAATGGCTACGTGTCCCTTGATGGGAAAAGGACAGGGAAAAGCAGTGAAGAATGTGTTCAGGCCCATGAACGGCGATGTGAAGTGCTTAGGCCAGAGGAGTCAGGGTGGAGCACTGCAACAGCCAGAGATGTCTTCAGCAATCACAGTCATCAAAAGGTGAGTGTGTTCATTGCTTTCCAGTCAGGATTGTTAATTTGGCAAATGATGATTAAGTCAGAATGAAGGTGATGAAGGTTAATCTCAGGCAAAAACTTCTCTCTGTTGCTCTACAGGAGGTGGTTTCTCAGCAGTAATAGCAACTGAGGTTCAGTTGTCATGTCAGTTCCAAGCAGTTTGCATTCCTCATGACATTCAGCAGATCAAGGATTTTGAAGAGAAAGTAATTTTAAACAGTTTAAAGTTTCTTTGATAGAATGGATGAGATGTTTTCTGTTTAACTTGCTTGGTGAGAACACACTCACACTAAAGAGAGGTTGGCAGTGGCTAGAATAGTCTCCTCTCTTCTCTGCTTCTCATCCCTTCCTCCAAAGAATATGAAAGCACTTCAGTGCTCTGCAAAACATAATAGAGAAGAAACCCCTGTGTCTGTTCTGCCTGTCCCTTTTTCTGTGTGCAGCTCAGCAGTTAAAAAGGGGAAATGTCCTGACCTTGAAGCGTCTCAGAAAACAGTTTGTGATGTGAGAGGGAATGATGTCTGAGTTGCAAGGCAGGGAAAGGATTTGTTCTATCCACAGAGCAGCTTTGCTATTTTTATCCTTTTCTCATTTCACTGACGACAGGAGGACTCCTAAGGAAACTTTACAGGGTCCTTTCTGGTGATCTCATAATAAATGAGAATATACAAAAGAGCTTTTCACAGCTGATCCTTCGCTCTCTTTTTTCCTTTCTGTTACTATAAGGGCTACTTCAGCTTCAGTTTAGAATCAGGAAAATGAAAAGTGAAATGAACTAATGACTTCAGTATTGAACATGCAATTTATAGCACTTTATCCTTGGGAGAAGAGGCAAATGTTAGCTTCGTACTGTATGTGTTGATAATTCAGTGTTGTAGTGTCTGCTGTCACAGTTTTGTTAGGGCTCTGCTTGTCCCTCTCTTCTCTTTCCCCCTGTGTGGATCCATTTCCTCTAAACCTTTCTCAATAGGTTCAGTTGAGACCAAATCACATATAGAATAAAAACGTCAGAATTTTTCCCAAGTATATGAACCAGCCCTTCATTTGGAAAAAAATGTTTATTTTGCTATTACAATTTCTGTTTGATAATTTCTTCTGTACCAGTTAATTTTGACACTTGAAAATGCATTAATACCTGGTTTAACTGAGCACAGGCCATAATGTTGTAGAAATAAACTTGAGTGAGTAAATATGACCATGTCTTACTAATCCAATTTTTCTTGCACTAGGATACTCACAGAACTGTGACAAATTTATCAGATGAAGTTTCTAGTGAGGAAGGGCCTGAAACTGGATACTCTTTACGTCGGAATGTCGAACGCACTTCAAGTGATTGTGCACTGCGAAACAGGAAATCTCACCATTATAAGAAACACTATCCTCTGGAGGTATGTTCACATCTATTGCTTCTTGTCTGTAAATCCTTAAAACCTCTTGACTTCTTTATCTATTCATTGAATAGATACATTTTCCTCAAACCCTTTTTTCTCCTTATTGGATTTTAGGAGTCTGTTACTTGGAAGTCATGGAGAACAGAAGGGGTTTTTGTTGAAATTTAGAGGGTTTGATTTTGTTTGAGCTTCATCCTATTTTTCAATTTGTTATAAGGAGCCTAAGGTATGTTCTGTGCCTCTTCCATTGGGTTATGGCAACTCTGTTGCTGTCTCCTCACAACAGTTATCTCCTCTGGAAATCTGCTTTGTTACAGAAACAGAAGTAATTGGCAATATGCAAATTCTCATCAAGCTTCTACTCCTGTTTCTCTCCAGTTAGTTATTTCAGGTTCATTAGAAGTCTCATTGAGTTTTCATTCCCTCATATTTGTTGTAACAATAATTTAAAATATTGTCATGAAATCTCAACAAAATTGTTAATGAATAAAAATACTGACATTTTATGAGACCTGACAGTGTCACAGCTTAGGAGAGGGGAATTAATAGACTCCATATTAGGAGAGTCCTTAATTGTAAGGACTCGGACACTGAAAGATAAAGGAATCTCTTACTGTGGTTTTGTTTATGTAGCTCTTTTTTGCTAACAATATGCAATTCAGCAGAGACATGGAACACTTTTTAAAGGCTTCATTGCTGTTTTTTTACTAAGGCTATGAGCAAAGAGTGTAAAGAGTAGAGTCAGCTCTGACAAAAGTCCACTGACAGATGGCTTGGATAGGCAGAGCCACACAAGTAAGCTCTCTACTTGATATAGGAAACATCCCCTTGGAATGGTTCTGATATTCCTTTCTCTGGTCACAACTACAAAGCCTTGAAGTTGATGCTTTGCATGACAACATTATTAGATGATCTTCTATCCTTCCATTTATTTCTCACAGACTTTGGTTAAAAAGGTCCAAAAGGCTAATTGATTGAGTGTTTAATGCCTTATGCATGTGTGGTTTAGGATAACTGAACAGGTCGATACTTGGAACTGTTTGTTCCACATTACAGAGAAGTCTCTTGACTAAGCTTGTGCAGCTGTGGTGCTTGACAAGAGGAAGCAGAAAGACAGTATTACAGCTGATTTTTCTTTTCAGCTGAAATCTATTTTCTATTGCATAGAGTGCTTCAGAGCTAGGGAAGACTGTGTAGATACCCTCAGAAACCAAAGAGGCAAAATTTGCTCGGTGGGTAGCTCTGGCAGTTGTGTTTTACTCTTGTTCTGCCTGATGCCACGAAAGAGGAAACCCTTCTTTGTTGTTGCCAGCTCGCCTCCCCCACACAATGACAAAGGAAATGAAACAATAGTTTTCAAATCAGTGAAAGCTTTCTTTGTATTAAAAAAAAAAAGAATTAGTGAAGTCAGTGGATATACTCTCAAATTCTGTCCTACATTTTATCTTCATGTGTCCTTGTCCACTTAATTGTTGTTTGGGCACACTTTTATTAATGTTTTTACTTTATTAACTTCAGGCACTTTACTTACTTTATTAACTACCCAATAGTGACTGCCTTCTATAAATATCTTCTTTTCTTTAAAAAATATTGTTCAGACTCTTCCTGCATTGATGCAAAAACTCTCCCTTTGTAAAAGAGTCCAGACCAAATTTTTGTCTGAACATTTCTTTACAGAGTTGTTTCCATAAAATGCATTAAGCACAGTTTCTAGGAAGAATAAAGAACATTTCTTCAGACAGTAATGCATTGCAAGTCATATGAAGTCAGTATGTCTGCAGAAGCACAGCTTAATTATGTTTTTCAGTGTAAAAAATTGTGAATGTTCTCAGGAGAAACTTGAAAGCCCAAACTTGATATTTTTCTTTCTTTATCTAAGGTCTAGGTAAAACTTGAGCATACTTGTTTCTCAAGTGCAGTTTGTTTAAAATAATTTAAATTTTATGTATGACTATGCAGATTAGTCATATGCATGGCATTAGTGATGAATACCCTTGCTTATTTCTCCTCTCTACACCTGATGCATAGCTATCTGCAAAGAAACTCTCTCTCTTTGAGAAGGTGTATTAATAGTAGCAGTGTGATTTTAAGGGACTGTGAGAGTCAATTCCACTTGTTTCACAAGCTCTTGCATTTAGAAATCTACTCCTGGAACATATCAAACTTGCTTTTAAAACTGCTGGAATTGTTTCTGCACTGCTTGAAAGGCAATTGGGGTTCCTCAGGCCTTGGGTGACTAGAAATATCTATCCCTTCTTCATCCAGGGCCTTGCCCTTTCCATTGCTGTATGGAGAAGTTAATAAGTAGTTAAAGTGCTTCAGCTCAAATAATTAGAAAATCAAAGTATCAAATTAGTTTAAAATACTTTGTGAGTGATGCTTTTCTCCCTCTTGGTCACATTGCTGTAGTACAATTTCAGTCTGTATATATGGCTTCAAGCCTTACTTGTCTGTCATATTTTCACCAAAATAATGAAGCTGTAAAGTGTATTAAAAGATGTTTAACTTATACCTTATTAAATCAGAAGTTTGAGACATAGCTGGAGTCTGTGGCTTGATAACTGCTATTTAATTCTAAGCTAATGAGTTCTAAAAATTTGTAAAGTTGTTATTTCTTTGCAGTAGTTGATATGATTTGATTCTTCTTTTTGTGACCCTTCCCCATCAAAGCAAAGACCACGGGCTGTTGCTTTTTGTACAGTGTCTTCAAGTGTGCAGCCTCCAGACACACCTTCAATAAACATCTGGTTCTTTCTGATGAGAAAATAATGGATTGCAACATACTAAAACAGATAAATGCAGATTGGAACTTTCTGATTGTTCCACCAGGAAATGATGTAGAATAAAAAAGCTGCATTAATGCCAAGGCATGTTTTCATTTCAGGATACACCTAAATCAGGTACTAGCTGCAGTTCTCGGTGTTCAAGCTCCAGACAAGATTCTGAGAGCACGAGGCCAGAGTCAGAGACTGAAGATGTGCTGTGGGAGGACCTTCTGCACTGTGCTGAGTGTCACTCCTCCTGTACCAGTGAGACAGATGTGGAAAGCCCTCAAGTGAATCCATGTATGAAGAAAGAATACAGAGATGACCCATTTCATCAGGTTGGTGTCCCCCAGTTTGGGCTGTTTTGCACCACACAGAGGTTCAGTGTGACCCATTCTATCACGTGTCAGGGGGCCTGGCAGAAAGAGCCCTATATTAAATGAAAGTAGCAAAGCCAAAGTGATTTGATAGAACTAAAACAAGGGAAATGTAATTTCTGATACTCAGTCCTTAATTTGTCAAATGAAGAGGATATGACAATCTACCAAAATAACCTATAGGATATTTGAATTTTTATTCGAGTTCAGAGCAACTCCTATTGCCTTAAGTTTCCTCTGTGTCAGATGGTTCTAGTGGTTGGGGGTTTTATTCTGTTTTGGGATTTTGTTTCTGTTTGGTTGGGGCTTTTTTTTTTTTTTTTGTTTGTTTGTTTGTTTTGATGGGTTTCTTTTGTTTCATTTTGTTTGGGGGGGTGTTGCTTCTGTTCCCCCCCTTTTCTTCTCTAGCGAAATTACTTTTTTGTGAGAATGTAACAGACATCTTTCTGTTTGCTTGTATATGAATTATATATAAAACTGAGAAATTACATGCGTAGTATCTAATGTTATATATAGCATATATAATGTATATATGTGATGTCACATGTATATTATATATGCCTAAATTCTATTAAGTTATAAGGGTGTTTTTACCTTAAAGTGAACAATTTTAGTTCCCTTCTTTAATGCTTTTCTATAGCAGCATATAGAGAGTCATTTTGGAGAGTCTGGTGTTCGTTCGGGCAACACTTTGGTTGCTACTTGCCTTAGGGTAATGTTGGTCAAGAACCCATTATTAATACTTGATCATTAACAGTCATAAAATCAGAATTCTGGGGGTTGGGGTCCCTGGGCAGGGACACCTCCCACCAGACCAAGTTGCTCAAGGCTTCATCCAACCTGGCTTTGAACACTGCCAGGGTTGGGGCATCTACTGCCTCCCTGGGCAACCTGTGCCAGTGTCTCACCAGTATTAACAATGAAGTAATTAGTCTTCATTTGATAAAACCCATTCATATATCTCGGTGCCAGTTTCATTTGTAGGACAAGCCTTACCTTAACGATGTATGTTAATTGCATTGCTGATTTGAACTGTTTAAGTAAAGTGGTGTAAAGAATATGAAACATTCTTCTGGGTGAACATGTCATACGTGTTGTTAGTGTGTCATCAGTGCTGAGGAATGTCCTGCAAGGGACGATGTTAATGCTACCTGAGGAAAATAATTGCAAGAAACAGGCTCTTCACTCATAGCTGGAGTTGAAAATTATGTACTTGTTGATTCTAAAACATAGACCTCTCCAAAGCCAAGTTTCCCTCAACCCTGAAACAATAACCCAAAGAGAGAACAATTTGGATTTTATGAAGTCTTTGCTTTTCTGATTTATTTTTAGTTCTTCTTGCTTACATTCCATAAAACATCAAAACGTAAACCTTGCAGCAGTGAGTTGAATTTCACTATATATCGACTCGTTTTTTCTGCAGTTGAAGGTTTTTCTGTTTGATTAGAGGTTGTAAATTTTTGAGTTTCAGCTCTTGGTGTTGATACTCCCTCTAGAGGGAGACCTCGGAAATCTGTAGTTAAGAAAGTCCTGCAACAAATATTTACATTCTTTTAATAATATAAATCCATTTGTTTTTCACCCAATGGTGTTAAAAACGGAGATAATCGAATACTTAGCAGAATACAAAGATTTCAGATAAATACTGATCACAGAATCAGCTGGGTTGGAAGAGACCTCAAGGATCATAGAGTCCAGCCCTACCATGGTTACTAGACCATGGCACTAAGTGCCACATCCAGTCTCAGCTTGAAAACCTCCAGGGGTGGTGAGCAAGCAATAAAATAAGAATAAAACAAAGCTTTACTTTTAATCAATGATAACTTAAAATTGAAAACCAGTATCATGCCACTGCCTATGCCCCAGCAATGGTGTGATACTCATAGTGCCAGGTGAGCAGGCAGAGGTGAGAGCAATTTTAATCTCCTGAATGGGAGAGGAGTTAGACAGGGCTGAGAGAGGTCAAGAAATAGCTGCAGCAGAACTTGCCACCTCAATCTTTTTCCATATCCTTCAGTTGTCACGTGGCTCTGTGGTTAGAGTAAAGGTCCCTCAGCCCTAAGTGTGTTCAGTAGATTAGCCTGGGGTGGCTTGGCTGTTGGAGCAGCTTCTATTGATTACACACCTACCACTCTCTGGCTCTTGCCAGATACAGTTTGCATACAGTTTATCCATAGCAAGTATTGTGAAGGACACAAATATCATTAAAAGCAAATAAAGAAGCTTGTTTGCCTGAGGCTCAAGCTGAGAAGAGTGCTTTTCAGCATGGTAAGGCAAAAAAAGAATGCTAAATAAGCCCCATTAAACGTGGCAGAACAACGACGACTTAGGTAGAACTTTGTTTTCATAGTTCTCTCTTCTTTGATATGTTTGAGTGAAAAAGAAACCAGTTCATCAGTAATCACAGTAACTCTTCACTATTAGAAAATGGAGTATGGAGAAGGAGAGATCTCTGTACTATTTCTTGGAAAAGATGTGGATGATTTTGAGCAATGTGGTTAACATATAGTAGAAGTAAACACTGTAGCAATATTTGTGTCAGTATATTGCTGACAAAGGCATGTTGACATGACAACAGATGTTTTAAGTCTATTGGAATGTATTTTTTGTCTTTCCCAGAGTCATTTGCCTTGGATCCACACTTTGAATCCAGGACTAGAAAAAATAAGCGCAATTGTATGGGAGGGTAATGACTGCAAGAAAGCAGATATGTCTGTGCTTGAAATCAGTGGTATGATAATGAACAGAGTGAGTATTTCTTTTACTTTATGCCAATATTGTAGTTAGAAGTCTTAGCACTGCCAAAAATAAGCTTGTTTTATGGTTGTGGGGTTTTTTTTCCTTCTACTTTTGTTGTTGTTTTTGTTCTGGTTTGGTTAGTTGTGGGTTTTTTCATTTGTTTGCTTTGTTGTCGTTTGGGGTTTTGTTTTAAAGTATCTGTTATGCACATTATTGTCTATGACTTGCATCACTCTGATTTACTTGTCATTAGCAGATTAAAGACCTACCAAATCTTAAGTGTAGGGACAATAAAATGTGTTTGCTTTGTTAGGTACTTGCTAGCATTGCCAACTTCTGGTTTACTGTTTCAAAGTGATAAATGCTGTGAATATTCCTATTTATCTCCTTGATTCTGATGAACAAATAATTATGTTGTGTTAGAAATATACAGATCTGAGTATTTGGATGCTGAAGTTAAGATTGGAAAAGAAAGCTTTCCTCTTTAAGAAGCAAACATCCAAGAGGATGAGTGGGGATGTCTCACTAGTTCTCCCTCCTTTTTTCCTTGTACACCTCTCCAGGAACAATTGGAAAAGCATTTAATTGATGTTGTGCTCTTTTACAGTATAGACAACGTAGTTATTTTGTAGAGTTGAACATGAAATCCTAGTGTAGCTTAAGAAAACTCTCACTAGTTCTGACAAGTTGATACTTACCATCTCCAACTTGTTAAAAAGCAACATATTCACCAACCTAGTTCTGATCTCTGCACCTGACTCAGAAATTTTACAGTTTTGGGGTGCAATCCACAGCAGAAGTAAACTTAGCAAAGCCAGAGCCAGCACAACAGAACTCCAGTCCCATCTGCACTGTAAACACTCTGATTCCTTTAAAAATCATACAACTTGAACCCCAAACCCAAACAGGAGCAGCATGCAGGGTCCAGCAGAGTCAGATTGATGCACTTTGCTAACTCAGCGTTGAATGAATTTTTAATGCAGGAATATGCACCAGAGTTTAACTGCAATGTTGTGTTGTTTGGTTTTTCAATGATTTGTCTGATTTGGTTCCTCTGCATTAAGTGCTCTTTGAGGCCTTCCTTTTTCTTAATAGTAAAAGGTGAAGATGCATGGCTGAAGTTTTATAGCTTACCAGGCTATAGATGTTCTTTGTGGTAGTAAGACAGAAACAGTAATCATTTGTTTATTGAACTAATGTCAAATTCATTCAAAAATTAAAAATACACCTTGTTTTCTCTTGGTTTCAGGTGAACAGCTACATACCAGGAATTGGTTATCAGATTTTTGGGAATGTCATATCTCTAATCTTGGGTTTAATGCCCTTTGTCTTTCGACTTTCCCAAGCTAAAGATTTAGAACAACTAGCAGCACATTCTGCCATGGAACTGTGCACGACTGCATTTGGGTCAAATGGAGACATTCTGGTTCTCTCAATGGTTATCATCAGTTTTGTGGTCCGTGTGTCTCTAGTGTGGATTTTCTTTTTTCTGCTCTGTGTAGCAGAGAGGACATATAAACAGGTAGGAACCACAAACCAAGAGGCTTCATCCGAAACAGAACAAGGCTTAATGTTTGTGTTTGTTGACTTTGTGGATATTTTAAACTTGTTTTCTTCAGCACACTGTGATTCATAGAGCAGTGATGACAGTGGGCTTACAGTTTAGGGGATGACTCAGATGCAATGGACTGAAGTCTCTGTAGCCCAGACGTTTTTTTTTTCCTGGAAAGCATTTCTGAGGAAAAACTGGCTCAGTGCATTTACCCAGCACTTAGTCATGTCCTAGTTTGTCTCAGGTTTCCACAAGGAGAAGGAGTTTCAGTAAAATAACTCTATATATTTCCAGTTTGTTTTGCCAGCGTGTTTCATTCACTATCTTCAGTTTGAATCAGAGTGGTTTGGGTTGGAAGGGACCTTAAGGATCATCTAGTCCCAACCCCCCTGCCTTGGACTGGGGCATGTTCCACTAGACCAGGTTGCTCAAAGCCTCATCCAGCCTGGCCTTGAACATCTCCAGGGATGGAGCTGTTCAGTCTAGACCCTACCAAGAGCCCTGAGCCCTGTCTGCTTTGTTCTTAGATCAGTTCCGTGGCTGGAGATGGTGAGAGCTTCTGTCTGAAGTAATGAACCTGTTCTTTTATAGCTTTTTATTGCCATTTAAACTCTTAAGAGAGTATCAATCAACCTTACTAGCTGCAGAATATAGATACTTCTTGGTCAGCAAAAGAAAAAAATTTTAGACGTTCTCTTTTCAAACCATAGTCAAAATATGTGACTTAATGCAGTAGAATAAAACTCAGCTGCTTTTGAATATTCCTTTTGAAAGGAACTTCTGTGGTGCAGGTGCTCTCTAATGTGAATGATTGGCAGGTTTCATTTTTTCCCCTCAGAATTTTAAAAGCATAGCAGATCTGTTGTCTAAAATTGGAAGAAATAAACTTAAAGTGTAGCTAAATTTTGTTTATCATTGGACTATGGAGACTTTGAAAACGTTTTTAATTATATGCTGCACTTATTTCTGCTTTATATATTAACATTTTAATTTGCACTGGTACATTGTATATTACTTTGACTTATTAAGTGATGCCTTTTCTCTGTTTTTTTTCAGTGCCCTTGAAAATCAATTAACAGTTAAAGCAATTTTTTTTCTTCTCTGCAGAGACTACTTTTTGCCAAACTTTTTGGTCATCTAACATCTGCTAGAAGGGCAAGAAAATCAGAGGTTCCTCACTTCCGCTTGAAGAAAGTACAGAATATAAAAATGTGGCTTTCTCTCAGGTCCTATCTAAAGGTAAAATAATGTGTATTTTGGCATCCATAAAATTTTCATACATTTAATGCATTTTAAATGTTTAAAAAAGAATGTGTAGTTATGTTTCAAGTTAAAATATCTCCTGTGCTGCTAATGGAAGGTTCTATTCTAGTCTGAGTATTTCCTCATATGCATTTACTACTGGTGCATGTGTCCCATAGATGGCTTCATTTTAGTGACTCTGGACCAGCAGTGTCTGCAGGCAGACAGATTGTGAGAAAATAAATGTCTGGTTTTCACCTTGGAGTAAAGTATGAGTGTGTTCAGAATGGGAGTTTTGTCTTACTCATGCTAGGAGAAAAGTCTCTGCGTGAATATGTTGGGTAAAAAGTGACCACTTGTAGTATAGTACAGACAATATCTTACTGTAGGAGCCACATCAGTTAGTGTCATTAGCACAGAAGGAATTTATAAAGCAAGAGAGTTTGTGTGTCTATTTGTGCTGTGAGTGTGTGAAGCTAGAAATGATGCTCAAGTATTGTCTATCTGATCCCTGAAATCTGCTATCAGCAGTTTCTAGAAGCAGGAAAAGTTGTATGAAAGCGTTAAAGGGTTATGGTGTGGAGACTGGAGACTGTGGAAAGCAGGAACTATAAGCAAGCAAAAATTTTTGATATAAAGCACAATCTTAAATTTGAAAGATGTGTCATTTTAAGAGGAGTTGAGGTGATTAGTTTATAACACTCCCTTGTGTTATGGTAGTATCATTTGGGAGGTTGTAAAATTGAGGTATCACATTGAAAGAGGGGAACTTCAGGCTAGATATTAGGAAAAAGGGTTTTCCTGTAGGGGTGGTGAGACACTGGCGTAGGTTGCCCAGGGAAGCAGTAGATGCCCCAACCTTGGCAGTGTTCAAGGCCAGGTTGGATGAAACCTTGAGCAACCTGCTCTGGTGGGAGGTGTCCCTGCCCAGGGCAGGGGCTTGGGACTAGATGATCTATAAGGTCCATTCCAACCCCTAAAATTCTATTATTATTTAAACTACATTTGAGAGACGTGAATCATTTTTGTTATAGTCTGTAGTGTGGTGCTGAGTGGGAGGAAAGGTTAACAGCACTTGGATAATAGATTGTAATTTTAATGTTTTAAAATCTGCATGTGGTAGCATTGTTGGGGAGAGAATGTCTTCGCTTCTTTCCTCATAGCCACATCTATATATTCCACCTTTTCTTATGCCACCAGGAACATTTGTGTAATAATGTGGCTAACAAAAAAAGCAATCAGCAGTCTAAGGCAGGCACATAGGGAACTGACTCAACTGAGAAATAATCAGTCAAGAACAGTGATTTTGATTTCCATCGGTTGCTTTACTTGGTTCACTGGGCAGCTCTGTAATGCCTGTGCCAGCACAGTGCAAGGAATGGAGACATTCAGTGTGGAGCAGAGCTGACAGAGCATTTGCCCAAAATACACTTGCATATTACCTGTCTGCATATGTGTCCATCTGTGGACAGGTGAGCTGGGAGATAAACATATCTCAAGAAGGCCAAGGGCATCTTGACCTGGGGCAATAAGAGTGTGGCAGAAGGACTAGGGCAGTGATCATCCCCCTGGACTGGGCACTGGGGAGGTCACACCTCAGTGCTGTGCTCAGCTTTGGGCACTCACTGCAAAAAGGGCATTGAGGCACTGGAGTGAGTCCAGCCAAGGGCAAGGAGGGCAGAAAAGGTCTAGAACATGTGTCTGGTGAGGAAGGGCTGAGGGAGTTGGGTTTGTTTAGCCTTGAGAAGAGGCTCAGGGGTGACCTCGTGGCTCTCTGCAACTCCCTGACAGGGGTTGGAGAGAGGTGGGGGATGTGTGTCCTGCCATGGCTGCAGGGAGAGGACTAGTGGGAATGGCCTTGAGCTGAGACAGGGCAGAGATTCAGATTAGGTATAAGGAAAAATGTTTTCCCTGTTAGGGTGTTCAGGCACTGGAATATTGCCCAAGGAGGTGGTGGAGTCACCATCCCTGGAAGTGTTTAAGAGGTGTCTGGATCTGACACTGGAGGATCTGGTTTAGGGTTTAGTGGTTCCAGCAGAGTGGCTGGTGAATGGTTGAACTCGATGATCTTGGAGGTCTCCTCCAACCTTGATGATTCTCTGGTTTCATACTTGGGGTTGAAGCCCAGTATCAAATTTGTTATGTCAGGGAATGTTTTCTGAATAAAAGTTACTACACATCATCAAGGAATTGGTTGAACAAGTGGTGAATATTATCTTTTCTCATAGTTGTCTTTAAGTGGTTCATCTCTCGTGCCTTCAGGGCTATCCAAATGTAGTGATGTTATTGAGATCCAGTATGTTGCATAGAACTTAGCTTGCCAAATTGTGAGCCATGATCAAACACAGGTTCAAGGTATGAGTCCAAGTAGTTATGCTAAATATCAATGCTGATTAGGTGGTTTTCACTCATATATGTACATCTCCTTTATTTTCAGCGTCGAGGTCCTCAACGCTCAGTTGATGTAATAGTTTCATCTGCCTTCCTACTGACTATCTCAGTTGTGTTTATCTGTTGTGCACAGGTGAGGAAATGTTACTTGTATAGAAACAGCCATCACTTTAATAGTTTTAAAGTTTGAGTGTCTTTTGCATGTTGATTTCTAGTAAGTTCCAAGACCACAGTGAAAAAATAGTAGTAGCTGTTACTGATTTTCCGAAGATTGAGCTCCATTTGTATTGTTCATTTTTAGAATGTTATTCTGTAGGAGCTAAAGAAACTTATTTATGACACAATTCCTTGCATGATCTTGACAAATTAGAGGGCTGAGCAGTCACCAGCTGTATGGAGTTTAACCAGGGCAAGTGGTGGATTCTGCAGCTGGGACAAGGTGGTTCTTGGCATTGTCCTGTGCAGAACCAGGAGTTGGGTTTGATGATCCTTGTGGGTCCCTTCCAACTCAGGATATTCTGTGATATCATTATTATTTTTTAAATCTCTGTCTCCTTTTATTTTTCACTGTGTTTTTTGGAACACTTCCCCCCCTCAACATCTTGCACCGAAACACTTTTGCAGGGTCAGTTGAGACTGACCTCGGTTGATGATTTTTGAGAGGCACAAGCTCTTGTTGGCTATATTTGCCTGCCCTCTAGTGGAATATCTTTTAGTAAGCAAATTGGTGTTTAAAGAAGATTTCTGCTGCTTAAGGTTTCCCTTTGACCTTCCATTTCAGAATACAGGGAAGCTTCTGAATGGCTTCTGGTTGTATTTTCTTCTCTGTTTCTTCCCTAGTTAAGTCTGTTGTGTTTTTCTGGTAGCTAACTATTTTATTATAAATGTAATTTATCTGCAACTCTTATGTCAAATTTAGTACAATTGAGGGTATATTTTGTTTATTATCCCATATAGTGTCTGTGCAAGTTTGAACATGAGTTGTCTTAGAGTATATTTTTTTCCTATTTCTTTAGGGACCTTAAAAAAAAAGAGTCTAAATTCTGATTGAACCTTTCAGAACATCTTTTCTCCAACCTTGTCTTTCATATGGTGCTGATTAAAATTATGATCCAAAAATCTTAAATGGCTAAAAACTTTCCATATATTTATTACTGGGAAATGTTTCTTGGAGTTGTAGAGATATGTAACTATTTCCTGATGTTGTAATGTAATTATTACTTCAAATTAAGTTTTTATTCTTTTTTCCCTTTTGTTTTCAGCTGCTTCACATGCACGAGATCTTCCTTGATTGTCACTATAATTGGGAACTCGTAATTTGGTGCATTTCTCTAACTCTTTTTCTCTTAAGATTTGTTACTCTTGGATCTGAAACCAGTAAAAAGTACAGCAATACCTCAATATTACTTACTGAGCAGGTGAGAATTTGTAGAGACCTCTATTTTTATATCTGAACAAGTCATTCATCTGGGAGGTCTCAGGCATTGTAGGTGTATTCAAATAGTTTGGATTTAGGGCGTTTAGTATGATGAAGTGAAACAACATTTAACCACCTGAAGTTCAGTTTCTGAGATAAGTGTGGGGCTTTGTTTAAGAGGTGTATGGAACATTGAGATGGCTGTATCCTAATTTCTGTCTGAGTGGGCTTAGAGGTATCAGTGTGAGTCATTTGGTGTAATTTAAGATCTAACAGCACAAACATAGAAAGTTTTTAAATAGGAAAAAGAAACCTGAGATCTCCAAGTGTTAGATGGGAAACTAAAAGATTTGGAAACAAACTTTCTACTGAGTCACTGTTTCCAGTCCAATGGCTTTGCTAAATTGCATGGATTACATAGTCTTCTCTAGATCCCTTGGAAACTTTTTATTTCAGTCATCTTTCAAGCTTGGCTTTGGGTCTATGTATGTGTCTTCTCAGGAATTTTCTGGTTGGTGTTTGTACTGCAAACTTCCCTCTCTGCTCTGCCTGGCACTGCTAATAGTTTTCCCAGCTAAGCATGTTCAGTTAACATTGGATGAGAAGAAATCTCTTTCTTCTTGGAGAAGTTTCACCCTGGTCCAACACATAGCATTCAGGGCAAGACAAATAGGCAGTTCAAGAAACCTTCACAGGTTTCCTACAGAAAATGTGTTGAAGTTGGAGAATAAAAATCTTCCAAACTGTGTGTCCCAAAGCTAGGATGTGAAGCCTATGACAGGTGGTGTAATTGATCATGTACATATTTTGCTCAATTCATTTTGTCTTTGCTAAGATGATGAGGCTGGACATGGAGAATCCAGACTGCCTGTCTGCCTTGCCCTGCATATGGTGGTTTGTGCCAGTCTAAAACCTCTCAGAGATCCTCAGCCTGGAGAGCTTCGCATTGTTCTGTTGATCCTCAAATAGCCTAATGTCCCAGTGAAGTTTGTCCACTGTTTCTGGAATGAAAATGCAGGGAAGTGTTTGGAATAAGGCTTGGAAAACATGCAGAGAGCAATGGGAGAGATTGTCAAACCTTTATTTTGCTTTCATAGGTTTCTGTATGATGCTTTTCATGGAAGTTGGTGTTTGAACTTTTTTATCCAGCACAGACATTGAAAGAACTACTTTCTGTATGTCCCCAGAATTTAAAAAATAAAGTAAAAATAAAAATTCAGGAAGTGCTGTGTCATCAGACACTTATCTTTGGATTAAATCTGGCTTATCCTGTTCTAAGTCTTGTTCTTCAGAAATGTCAGAGAGCTTTATGAGATGAAAACCAAAATGGAATTCAGAATTGTTTCTCAGAAAATGAAATACACTTCACCCTAGGTAGAACTCAGTTTGGACTGATTGCACTTGCTAGGTGGATACTGCAGCATATTTACAGTATTCTTGAGAAGGGCTCATGAAGTTTGGCTTTTCAGGAGAGATGAACCCCAAACAATTGACTGACACTTGATCTTAAAGAGCACATCTGATCTGATGTCCTTGAAAACCACACACTAGAGTTATTAGGCTTACTGAGAAGAGAACAAAGCTGTAAACCAAACAAACAGAAAAGTACAGCAAAAACAATGCCCAGATTCAATTTAAATGGTTCATGGATAAGATGAAATTGCAAATTCTACTTTCTGCCAGCAAAGTTCCTGGCACTTCTCTGTGCTTTATACTCAACCTATGAATTTCATAACTAGGAGTCATGGTGACAACTAAAGAGCTCAGTTGTTTTACCTAAAGGGATTTTTTTTACTGTATGCTGTTTGCCTGTAATTTTGTAAGTCCTTCTGAAAGTCTTTTTAATTGGTCTTGTAAATTAAGCCCCTCAGTGTTCTTTGTTGAGTAAAAGACAACCTATGGTCTGATCAAAGTTGTCATCTTGCCAGTGCTGAGTCTCAGAAAAGGTGTGGTAGATGGCTGTGCATGTACACATCCAAACTCCCCTCCTGATTCACAGTTTGTTATTGAATGTTGATTTTTTTTCATAAATAATGAAATCATAGTAACTTAAAAGAGACTTGAACCTTCCTAGGGTTTATTAACCTGCCATTTTTTTCAGAGTTGCTAATTAGAGCCTTTATTCTTAGTTTATTCCTGTTTATAAATGCTTGAGTTGTTGAAATCAGTAGTTTTATATTTAAAGATTGGAATATCTTTGCCTCTGAAAGCACAATTTTACTTTAAAATGAAGCTGATAGTTCAGGAGCTTGATATGCCGTGGAATATATTAGGCATAGGTTTTGATTTTGAACTTGTATAAGAAACTTACAGTGGCCTTTTTAAGGAGTCCTGATAATATTCAGTTACTTTGTCTAGATGTCTGTGGCCCTTATTTCAATAACCACCTTACAATAAGGTGGTTAAATATATCATATTACCATATAGCATAATTCTCTTCTGCAAGTTTGCTTCTGTAGCTTGGGAATTGTCATCTGAAGGACTATTTCAGCATGTTGCTAAATTGTGCACTGGTTATCATCCTAAAATAAAAAGTTCATGGCTTTTCAAGATCTTTTCCCCTTTGATTTGCATTTGTTATGCAAGAGAAAAGCAAAGCTAGCCTTTGTCTGGTCTAGGGTATCAAAGATAGGTCGTTCAGGAATGAAAGTTGATGTCTGAGAATTGCTAGGAGGCCAAAAGAGAGCTAATTTGTACTCTTAACTGAAGTTTCTCAGAGACAATGACCTAAAAGAGTCTGCATCACAGAAGTATTGCAGTGCTCAATATACTGTTCTTCTACAGCATTGAAGAGTTTAATCATTTCTCAAGGCACTGGAAAGATTGATTTTCTGCAGTGGAGGTGCCCATGAAGTACTAAATTAGACTGAAATCCTTTAAGAGAAATTACACTTTAGCAGAATTGTGTTTTAGTATTTCAGTCTATTCAATACCTTTTGTGGATGTTAAGCCTTGTAAGGTCCTGCCTACTAGTGAAAGAAACCCTTCTGGGAATGAATTGACAAACCCCAGGCAATTGATGGAGAAGGAAAATTATGCAAACCTTACATATATGGTGGTTTTTCTTGCTTAATTTGTAGACTAGACTAAACTTTCAAGCTGTTGCTATAATAAAAATGCCCTCTGAAGACAGGCTGAGGGAGTTGGGGCTGTTCAGCCTGAGGAAGAGAAGACTGTGTGGAGACCTCAGAGCAACTTTTCAGTATCTGAAGGGGCTACAAGGAGCCAGAGAGGGACTCTGTGTTAGGAACTGCAGGGATAGGACAAGGGGCAGTGGGTTCAAACTGAAGGAGGGGAAGTTTAGGTTGGATGTGAGAAAAATGTTTTTTACTCTAAGGATGGTGAGACACTGGCACAGGTTGCCCAGGGAGGCTGTGGCTGCCCCAACCCTGGTGGTGTTCAAGGCCAGGCTGGATGAGCCTTGAGCAACCTGATGTAGTGAGGAGGTTTCCCTGCCCAGGGCAGGGGTTGGGACTAGATGATCTGTAAGGTCCATTCCAACCCCTAAATTTTATGATACTATGAATAGTGTCAGATGCATTTTGTTAGATCATAAAGCATTGTATTTCCGTATGGTGCTGAGCCAGAATTTCTTCTTAAATATTAAAAAATAATTTAAAAAAATGTGCTTGCAGAAATGCAGTTGCAGTTCTGTCATATGTCTGCTGAGTAATCACTTCATTGTATTGTTAAATGCTTCCAAATGAATTCTTTTAAGTTCTGACTCAGTGGTGATACTTTGTTTTTTAAATCAGATAAACTTGTACTTGAAAATGGAGAAAAAGCCTAATAAGAAGGAGGAACTGACACTAGTGAACAATGTTTTAAAGCTTGCTACTAAGCTATTGAAGGTAAGAATTAAGATAGTATTCCTGTGTTATGTGTAACAAAGGTGCAGAGTGGATTGGTTAGTCATTTGTATTACTTCTGCAGGCAGTAAACTGTGCTTTGGGTTAAATCTGCTCTGTCTCTCTCCCAGTGATGCTGCTTGTTCATACTCTGCAGCCTGTTACGTTGTTATCATTGTGGATTGCAAGTTAGTATTCCAGTAAGTTTTATCCTTTGATGGTATATGAGCAGTGTGAGAGAAGGTACTTCAGAGTGGGCAGGATGGTGAACCTTTGGGAAATAAATGATGCTTTTTGTTGTCTGAGTGTTGATATAGTGGTTCTTTAAGACCTTGTGGCCTCATTCTACCACACATTGACTTCTTGTCCCTTAGCCAGTTGATTCCTGTGCACCCAGGAGCAGTTCTGAAAATGCAGCTTGAATTTGGTTTATCTAGCCAGCGAATAGCTGAGGTGATGGAGTGTTTCTTCTAGCTAGGTGAGTCATTCTCCCTACCAGCACACCTTTAACAAGGTGTGTGATGGTCCCCTCAAAAAGATAACAAATATACAGTACTTTCTGTGAGAGGACTGGAAGAGTCAGCAAGGACTCAAAGCTGACAAAGCAGCAACCTGAGAGTTCTGCTATGGCAATAAGGAGAGCCTGGCTAAGTCAGATACTCACTGTATCTCCTGGTATAAGATTAAGGGACCTCAAAGCTTTTAATACCTGGTTTTGGAGCAAACAAAACCTCTGTGCATTAGGTAGCAGACTTGTTGGTCAGAGGACAATGTGGATGCACAAAAGTTATCTGGATTCTAGGACAGACTGGACAAGTAGACTTACACAAAGCACAAAAGGTTCAGGGTATCATCTCATGAGCTGAAATGTTTGTCTGTGGTGAGAATGTAGGTAGGGTGAGAAGTAGCTGCAACTGGTGATTGTTGATCAGTTCTTGTTCTGATTTGCTTCTGCCTTTTTCATGTTCTTCTCAGTGTTTTCAAACAGTGTGTTCATGTTTTACTCTTTCTAGGAGTGTGTCAGCTGACATGGCCTTTTCAACAGGGGACTTGGCTTTTGTGGCACAAATCCCTGACCCAGGCCATCACTTAGTTACTCTGATAACATGCCCAGAAGTGAGATTTCCAAGCCACCTACTATGAGCCTTAAACAAATTCTTGGTAGTCAGTGATCAGCACAATTAGGTATTTTATGCCCAGTAGCTAAATGCACTCAGGTTTTTTCAGTTTGCTTTTGGATGGTTTTGATCTTTAAGCTTTTATTGAAGACTGGATTATGTTGAATATTCTTACTGTTTTCTTATTCACAAAATTGCTAAGATGAATCCAAAATCTAGAAACCTTTTCCTTAAAGAATTTCTCTGCTGTCCTTCTCTTTTGTGCCTTTTATGTTTGCAGCAGAGTTTTGTGCTGCATTACATCTAAATGAAAAGGTTGTTCATTCTTATTTCACCTCTTTTGAAAGAAGAGTCAGAGCTCTGAAATTCTTCTGTATTATAAAAGGTTTTATAAGGCCTTGTTCAAAGCCCAGGATGTAATGCAGGAGAGGAGTGAAGATGAATTTAAAGCTAGAAGATATGAATGGCCAAAGTAGTGATAGTTATTATACTTTATATAACCCACACTTATATTTTAAAACTCTTTTTCTTCCTTTATTTGACATATTTCTAGGCCAGAAAAGTTTGGGTGATTATATTCACACACCAATCATTGAAAATTGCTGAAATAGCCTCTTTGTTCAAGTTTTGTTGCAGATTACTTTTTGCTAGTTTTTTTGTTCCTTCCAATAAAAAACAAAGAAAAATATTGGCAGTCAAATAATTATGAGTATTGTTTTCTTCATCATCCTTTTCTGGGTGTGTCGATTAGTAATTAGTCTCAAAATGAATGGAAAAGGAAGGGAATTTGAAGGGTTGTAAGACACCACCAGTCAACTGTCTGATAATGAGTTGGATTTTCTTGTCCATTGTTTTTTATATGCAGAATAGCAGGAGAAGGTTTTATTCCACTGGGACTTGAAGAGTTCCTTAACTCTAATAATGCTCAATCCATATGTGACCAAAACCCCTTTGTGTAAGCTTTAATGATGTGATTGTTTTGTATTATTAGGAACTGGACAGTCCCTTTAGGTTATATGGGCTTACAATGAATCCACTGCTTTACAACATCACCCAGGTTGTCATCCTGTCAGCTGTTTCTGGTGTCATCAGTGACTTGCTTGGATTTAACCTAAAGGTAACTACCTAAGAACCATCCTGGTTTCCACTATGGGGTTCAGAACATCGTGATGAATTGTACATTGTAGCTTAGGGATTTCTTAACTGTGTTAATTGGAGATTTATTGCTTGCAAATGGTTATTATATTAAAGCTATGTCAGAAGACTAGCAATGTATTTGGCAGAGAAGCCCTTTTAGTATTTTTGTTCTTTTTAATGGGGCTTTCTAACTTCATTTAAGACATTTAATTACAAGAATTCCTAGACATAAATCCGGAGACATTTGTATACCTAAATACAAGACCTTCTTTGAATTTTCTTCATATCCCAGATTTGATGTCTCCCTTGAATTCCTCACTGTTGACTAGGTAGTTCTTGAAGGGATACAGAAAAATGCAAACTATCCTTGTCTTGCACCTTCAGTAAAGCATTGTAGTAGATACAGTATTACTGTGACCAATCCTACACAGTGTTACTTTGTCATGGCTGAAGGTCTTGCTAGGTCCTTCTCTCTGGTCCCCTCTGAGCTACAGACTCTGGTAAATATTTCAAGATTTGGGTTGTCATAGGATCATCAAGGTTGGAGGAGGTCTCTAAGATCATTGAGTCCAACCATTTACCTGTCGCTGCTCGAACCCCTAAACCCTAAACCATATCCTCCAGTGTCAGATCCAGATGCCTCTTAAACACTTCCAGGGATGGTGACTCCACCACCTCCCTGGGCAACCTATTCCAGTGCCTGAACACCCTAACAGGGAAAACATTTCTCCTAACATTTAATCTGACTCTCCCCTGTCTCAGCTCAAGGCTATTCCCTCTAGTCCTCTCCCTGCAGCCATGGCAGGACACACATCCCCCACCTCTCTCCAACCCCTGTCAGGTAGTTGTAGAGAGCCATGAGGTCACCCCTGAGCCTCTTCTCAAGGCTAAACAAACCCAACTCCCTCAGCCCTTCCTCACAGGACATGTGTTCCAGACCTTTGCTGCCCTTGTTGCCCTTGTTGCCCTTGTCTGGACTCACTCCAGCAACTCAACATTCTTTTTACAGTGAGGGGCCCAAAGCTGAGCACAGCACTGAGGTGTGACCTCCCCAGTGCCCAGTCCAGGGGGATGATCACTGCCCTAGTCCTGCTGCCACACTCTTCTTGCTCCAGGCCAAGATGCCTTTGGCCTTCTTGGCCACCTGTGCACACTGTTGGCTCACACTGAGCTGCTGTTATGTTAGTTTCCACAAGCTCACAGCTGTCACAGTGCCATTGGTTGGCCATTGAGTTTGCTTACCTCTACCTATTTTTTCCCTATTAGAAGTAAATGAATGTAAAATATGTTTCATGTATCATAGAATATGCAGCAAATGCAATAAGTAAAAAAACCACAGTGGTGTTAATGCAGTTCTGATGAACAGAAAACTGAGATGAGAAATAATCTTGATATATTGCTCTTATTTTCCAGCTCTGGAAGATCAAATCTTGACAGTGTAGAAAGAAGATGAAATAACCCAGTGTTACAGAAAAGCTCATTGATGGACAAAACTGCCTCAAAGCAGCCACTGAATCTGTATTTCAGACCTCTTCAAGGATGTCATTTGGAAAACTGAAGTGTTTACATCTGACTGTCTTGTGCAATCTTTGTATTTATTTCATCTTCTCTCTGGTATAGGTTCATTTTAGTTGACATTTATATTTTATTTTCAAACTTATTTGTTTCGTTTTGCAAAGGGTCAAAAAACTGTGTGTCTGAGAAGTCAAAATCCTGAAAACTGATTACACTAAATTCCTCTTATCTGTTGTTACAGCTGAAGCCAATGCTGAACATTTTTAGTTACAGTAACACTATATGGAAGTCATTTGGTTTTTTTGATAGTGTGGTAAAATTGCTTAGAATATTTCATTTGCGCCAAGCATTTATGAGGACAACGTAACATCAGTAGATGTTTGGTTGCAATGGCAAAGTGAGACATAGAGAAAAGGATAAAGAACTGACAATACAGGATGACAGGTAACAGAAATATTTTATATTCCTATGAGAAGCAGGTGGGAGTTTCAAATATTTGGAGCAATTCCAGGATCTAAACTCATATAGCCTGCGGTTTAAATATCCTGAGATATTGAAAAGGTGTTATATAACAAGTCAACAAGTGTTCTTGGGTAACACTTTTGTTAGAGCAATAATTGTAAATGGTTACCATGCTGTATGATATTTTGATAAGAATTAAATATTGTATTTATTTGGAATACTGGGCTGTTCTGCACAGCTCTGTGCACTTTTTATTGTTACTTTTGATGAGAAACTTTATACATATAAATGTATATTAATTGGAATATATTATGGTGAACTATGGAGCAGTTTGTGTTCTATGTTTGAAGCTGAATATTTAAACAAGCAAGCTGTTGGTGAAAGGAATGATATGAATGACTGAGCATAAGATAGGTAGGTGCTCTACTCTTGTACACTATAGTATATGCCATTCATACCACATTGAAGTTTAAGAGCAGTTAAGCACAGAGAACAAGTTCCTCTGGTGAGCAGCAGAGCTCATGAAGACTGGTATTGGGCAGGTTTTTGTCTTCAGGTAACTTTTCCTCCCATTCCTCCCAGCAGGTGTCATTCCCTAGTGCTTTCCACTGGGAATTTGCAGCATTTGAGTGTCACAGCTCTCCCTGTGCCTTCTCTCCCTGCCTGGGATAGATTGAAGGCAGACAGTGGACCAGCCTTTGGCTTGTGGTTCTTCAGCGTGACAAAATTACGTGTTCATCCCTGTAGAATTGAGTTACTTGGAACAAATTTTCCTTCTACAAAGTACTTTGGGAGGATCAATATCACCAGGCACAAGTATTCTTACATTTGTCTCTAAAACAGTGGCTTCATACTTGAAAAATGACTAGTAAGTTGGTGGGAAGAGTCTGGACATTGCACTGTGTTTGCTAATCTTCAGAGTCTTGAAAGGTTGGAAGTAATGAGTCTTAAACTTATGTGGTATAGAAATATTTTTATATATAAAGCAACACAAACAAGCATTTTGTATTTTATTTGCCTCTGTACTAATGTTTAATAATGACCAAAGTGCATTCTGGTTTTTTGGAAGAATGTATTACTGGAGCTTTAAGAACATATGATATTTAGTTTCTCATGTGAAAACTTCAGCTGCATCTGATCTGTTTCTCCTTTCTCTGTTGTTTGACGTTGGGATTGTTTTTAAGTACGTTTTATACACAGTTTTTTCCAAATTATGGTACAGACCTACACAGAACTTAATTTTGCACAAAATATATTTTAAGAAAAAAAAAATCTACAGCAGGAGTTCTATGGGTGATAAAAGATGAGGCTTTTTACAGCCTGTTGTGATTACAAAACCATTCGTTACTCTAGAGTGGAATTATTTTGAGAGATGTAAAATAGTGAATATGTGGCTTTCATTACTTTCAAAATAAAAGGAGGGAGAGAAAACACTGCAGCTTGGGTTGAAGGTGAAATTAGTTTAACCATGTATACCTCAGCAACTAGCACTGTGCTGGATTGTTGCACTAACAAGTGGTGGCTTGGGGGCAGGAAAAGATTTGTGAAATGGAATTAAAAAGAGTAAACCAACCCTTTATTTGCTACCCTTAGGTATATTCATTATGTTAAAAGTGAGAGAGGTTTATTCTCCATCCCTCAGTGTGGAAAGTCCAGTGTAAGAATAGAGGCAAGTAGAAATATGGCAGATCTTGCGTGTTTACTGTTATTTTTTGCCACGTGTTTTGTAACTGAAAGTGTGATCAGGCTTGGAATAAAGCTTTCTATGGTTGATGGAAAAAAAGAAAAAAAAACAATGTGGTGAGCTATATCTTTTAGTAACATGCAGTGTGTTTCTGGGCTGCCTGGTGTGACTGAAATCCATCCTTAAAGCATGTTTGGGAGGGAAATCCTGCACAGAGTGCAATGGATAGTTGTCAGAATTGCAGTTGGTTGCTAGAACACAAACCTTCAGACACTTTTAGTTATGCAAAGGAGTTAAACTTCATGAAGACTACTGGATTAGCTTCCAAATAACTTTTTCGATTTGCAAGGCATTAAAACAAAATTCAGTCCTATTTCACTAGGATTTAGGGGGTCAATTTCAATCACCTTTCTGACTGTATTGTTATGTCACAAGAGAAATTTCCCTGTAAAAACAAGGTAGAAATGAACTGAAGTACTCATTGAGATCCAAGTTGAAAGTTCCAATAACATGTTATGGAATATTTGGACAGAAATAATGTGGGATAACTTATGAGTTCTTCTCTATTTGTTTACTGATTAATGAAGTATTTTTCTAACAGAAAACTGTTCTATTAGCAGTTTGAAACACCCATTTTAATTGGCTTCATTTTGGCTTTTTGACAATGTAGTCTTTGAACCTAGTCTGGACCTGAGGGAATGGTCTGAAGTTGTGTCAGGGGAGGGTTAGGCTGGAGATTAGCAAATGGTTCTTCCCCCAGAGGTTTTGGGCACTGAACAGCTCCCAGGGCAGTGTCACAGCCCCAAGCCTGACAGAGCTCCAGAGGAGTTTGGCCAGTGCTCTCAGGCACAGGGTGTGATTGTCAGGGATGTCCTGTGCAGGGCCAGGAGCTGGACTGGATGGTCCTCAAGGATCCCTTCCAACTCTGATTATTCTGTGATTCTGTGACTTTTAACATGTTCTGCTAGTGGTATCCCTGTGACCACCAATTACAGGGCAATAGGTTACACTGTCCTTTTGTTCACTTTCTAAGTTAATTCCAAATGTAGGCTATGTACAATTTAAAATTTCTTTTGGTGGTCATGCATGACACTGCATACATTGAGAAATTAACTTCTGGGAGTCATTCTTCTAAACATCCATCTCTAGGTGACACTTCAGTGTGCCAGAACTCTCAGATGTTGCCACTCTTTAATAATTTGACCCTTGAGCTGACACTTGCTATCTTTAAACAAAATTTCAGAAATCTGAAGTTGCTACAGATTAGGTGTCATGATAAAAAGTGAGTTCTCTGGGCTGGAAACAATGCCATGTCTCCTGCTATCAGTAGCAGGATTCTCTGCAAGGAGAAATCAAGAGAGATTTTCTTTTCCTTTCTAGTTCTTGAGAGATGAAGCCACAACATTCAGTGTGGACACAATCAGCTCTGATAAAATAAGCAGCATTGATGGCAGATCAGATTCAATTTTTTCAGTAGAAGTTTGAATAAGTTTATGATCTGGAATAAGAAATAAGGTCATGCTGCAGAAAGATTTATCTGTTTTACTTTGTTTTCCTTCCCCCCTGTGTTGGATTATCATAGAATCATAGAATTTTAGGGGATGGAATGGACCTTACAGATCATCTAGTCCCAACCCCCTGCCCTGGGCAGGGACACCTCCCACCAGAGCAGGTTGCTCAAGGCTCATCCAACCTGGCTGTGAACACTGCCAGGGTTGGGGCAGCCACAGCCTCCCTGGGCAACCTGGGACAGTGTCTCACCACCCTCACAGGAAAAAACCTTTTCCTAATATCTAACCTAAATTTCCCCTCTTTCAATTTGTGCTCATTGCCCCTTGTCCTCTCACTGCAGCTCCTAACACAGAGTCCCTCTGCAGCTTCCCTGGAGCCCCTTCCAACACTAGAAGGTTTCTATGAGGCCTCTGCACAACTTCAGCTTCTCCAACTCCCTCAGCCTGTCCTCACAGGGGAGATGCTTAGTTCTCTTATCAACTTCATGGCCTCCTCTGGACTTGCTCCAGCAGTTCCATGCCTTTCTTAATTGATTAATTGATTCAAGCAAAAGAAAGCGCATGCACTTTAGGGACAAGCTCCCAAAAATAGCCCACTAATTTCATTTGTTACTTCAGTCTTTTTGTTTCAAAATGCTAACACTTTATGTTTAGGCATGCCTACAGTCTTAAATAGCCACCAGCTTTTCATTTCTAGCCCTTACAAACAAGCTCCTGCTCCTTGAGCATGGTCTTATTGATAATGAAATTTGGTGTGGATTAGGTCTCTGCCTCCTGCCCATGTCAAAATCTAAGTCTGAGTCTCTAGACATGTGGTTAGGAATCAAATGAAATCTCTTGCTGTTGCTCTGTCTCATGCATGTGAATGGATGAGAAGTGAATTGCTTGACTAATTGGAAAATGCAGTTAAATGGAAGTTGGCACCATAACGGTGAGTTTTGGTGAAATACTTGCTTGGTGTATCAAGGAGTGCTCCAATATTTCATTAAACCATCTCTCCAGTAGTGCTGACTGGGATCAAAACCAACCAGCCTGAGCTGTCTAGAAGTTAGAGACCAAATTGTCCCAGGGGTTCCTCAGCAGTAACTAGAAGCTCACACTTACCTTTAGAGGGGGATTTGTTCAGTTGATCTTTGATTTTAGTGATCCTCTGGGGTATTTCTTTCTTGAGTGTAAAAGGAAAAGAGTGTGGATAATTTAGAATCATTCAAAACTTTTAGCCACTTAAATTAAGGGCAGATAATCTGACTTTGCTGTTTTGTTCCACAATATTTGTGTTATTTTGTGTTATATTGTGAGGGTTTTTTGTTCCACAGTTTCAGCATTTGCAGCTGTGTAATTAGTTCAGCTGCCACTGGAAAGGAAGATTTT